CCCGCTCTGCCTCCTTGGATGACACCAGAATTTATGATCTCCTCCAATAACAATGCTTTCCCATAGGAAAGCATTAGATTGGCTAAGATTGTCGGTTCTGATTATCTCAGCCAAAGAGGCGGCTGGGGGTGAAGCCAAACGGTGCCTTAGCCAATAAGCATCTACTTATAGAGATGCATTGAATCAATACACCTCTGTGGGAAAAGTTCAATGTAACAGATTCTCTATACTCTGAGTATTTCCGTTCAGAGGTTCTCCCTCTACCTGCAGAGTGAAAGTGTATATAGCTCCCACCCAAACATCAGCCTAGACTTGATGAAGATTGAAAAGTATTGTCTTAATTGAGAAAAGTACTTAAAAGTACAGTAACCCTGCTCAGAGGCCTCTGTATCTGGAAGAGAATTGTGACCTACATTGCTTAATTTAGTTAACTCCCAGCACACAACCCCAAAATACAGTGTAAAAACATTAAGAACCCCCAGACATATGATATCCCCAGTAAGCTGGTCTTCCAATCTTGGAGAATGCCTGCTAAGTGCAACGCGTGTAGACGCTGAACGGCATGAATCACCTCTAAACTGTCTACAGCAAAAAGCCTGCATGAACGGAACAAATACAATAAGCTATAGTTGTTCTGTCCCTTTAACACCTATTCCAAGGAAACTAAACTGCAATTACAAAAAGGTGATTTGCTGATCCTTAGTGTCTTTAGTTTCACAGACCGAAGGTTTAGGAGAGATTGCCCAGATGACTAGGTTCTCCTGCACATTCATTCTGCTCTAAAGCATGTGATATATATGTATGTATGTGTATATGTATATACTTGAGTTTTTCGGCACATTTTTTGCCTTATACTCGAATCAATGTCTTTATTATGGCAACTTACATTGCCATAATACAGACCAGTCCTGTTGGGGGCTGGCAGCGAGCTGTAACTTACCTTTCTTGTCAGCTCCCTTCTCTCTCCTCCGGTCCGGTCAGCTCCATTGCAAGTCTTGTGAGAGCCGCGGGGTCAGAGTGTTGCCACGGGTTACCGCGAGGCTGACAGGGGAGCTGACCGGACCAGAGGAGAGAGAAGGGAGCTGACAGGAGCTGCAGGAAAGGTAAGTAACAGCTCTCTGCCAGCCCCCCTCCTACACAGCCCATGCCACTGGACCACCAGGGAATGAGAGCCCCCCTCCCTGGCCAGCTAACAAGCAGGGAGGGGGGATGAAAAAAATATAAATAAAAATTTAAATAATAATAAAATAATATTAAAAAATTTTTTTTTATATTAAAATAATTATTAAAAAAAAATTATAAGCCGAGGGGGAGAACATCGCAGCAACCGCGGAAACCCCTTTAACCATGAAACGCCGCACGCAGAAAGGCCAGCAAAACTCACCGGCGGAGCAGCGCGATGTCGGGGAGATGCTGCGACGCCAGACACAACCCAAGATGGCCACTGAAGAGGCCCCCTTCGCGCCCATGCGGCCTACACAGCTGGCCCAAACTCCAGCAACACAAACAGAGGGGCCACTAAGTAATACACTCCCAGCCCTCACAGAAATAGTGGAACACAACTTAGCCACCAAACAAGACCTCCAACGTTGGATGCACGAGCTCCAAGACCTAATAGCCAAAGACATAGGCACTATAAAAGCGGAGGTGCGCCAAATTACAGGCAGAGTACACGCAGTAGAGGAGAGTGTAGTGACAATAGGCAACGAGATGACTCACCTTAAAGAAACGCTGTACACAATGCAAACAGCTCATCAGGCGCTAGAGGTGCAGGTCTCCACCCAAGGGGACCGCCTGCGTCGTAACCACATCAAGCTCCGAGGGGTGCCCGCGGCGATCACACAGGCTGAACAGCCTCATTTCCTAAGGAGGCTCCTAGCCACAATCCTGCCACCAGCAGCTGCCCGGAAAATCACACTGGAGTGCTCATACCGACTGCCAGCAGGACCCAACTCACCACCCACAGAAGCACGAGACATCATCCTATGCTGTGCCACGACACAGGATAGAATCACTATAATGAATGCGGTGAAAGGCAAGACACCCCTGGCATTCGAGAATGCCCAACTGCTCTTCTTCCAAGACCTGACAAGAGCAACACTGCAATGGCGAAAAACGATGTACAACCTCACCAGCAGCCTGAGACAAGCGGGAATACAATACCGCTGGGGGGCACCCAGGATCATAAAGTTCACCCACAAAGGCAACACATATAGAGCCACGTCGGAGACTGAAATCCCTGCAATTCTAACCTCACTGGGACTCATGGACTTACACAAGAATGGAGCCACGGGTGCCTCGTCCCAAGTGGGAGATCCTGCCACGGCGAACTCATTCACACCTCGATCCCAGGGAGGCACGGATACAGCTTCTTGACAGGAACTGTACTACTCTGCCGGCCACAGCGGACACAGCTCCATTCGAGTTGGAAATGGAAGGAAGACGCCGATATGTTCATTATGTTAGAAGATACATCTGTTTCTTTATTGTGTTTTTTTTTATTTTTTTTTTACATGCCTTTATGTGTTTCTGTTGATGCATGCTCTCATACTCTGAGGCTCTGTCGGGTTCACCAGCCAACACATGGCCCACTCCACGACAATCCCCCCCCCCGCTGCCCCCTGGGTTAGGGGCACTCACCATCACGCAACAGAACCCCAGCATACCGCGAAAATTATTATTTTCTTTTTTTTTTAATACAGCGCAGCGACCCTTAGACGTCTAAAGGCACATACAGGTAAAAGCCTCGTAACACGCACCACAACAGCCAAGCGTAACAGCGCAACACACCAGGAGGCACAAAACAGCCCAGGGATGACATAACAGCGCAGGTAACAACTCGGTATATCAGAAAGGTAGCGCACGCTGACAGCCGCACCAAAACTGTAACGCAACCTGTTTAAAAAATTACAAAAAAAAAATGTTTGCAAACCAAGTGACAAGTCAAATAACCATACTTTTATACTGTATACTATTCCTCACTTCTGTCATTGTCATTGCAATGTTGACACACATCTTTAAAATAAAGATTTAAAAAAAAAAAAAAAAAATAAAAATGCCTACCCCCCACCAAGGCTCTGCATCACATACACACACACACTGCATTCATGCATACACACTGTAAATATTCAATTAATATAATTTTTTGGGGATCTAATTTTATTTAGAAATTTACCAGTAGCTGCTGCATTTCCCACCCTAGGTTTATACTTAAGTCAATAATTTTTTCGGGGTAAAATTAGGGGTCTCGACTTATTCGGGTCGACTTATACTCGAGTATATACTGTGTGTGTGTGTGTGTGTATATGTATGTGTGTGTATATATATATATATATATATATATATATATATATATATATATATATATATATATATATATATATATATATATATATATATATATAATATGTCAGGCACTCTATCTTTGAAAATTTGTTGAGATGAACCTCGGTGCTGCATAGCATGGATAAATACGAGATGTTGAAAAGAGCACTCCAGAGGATTTGTTTAGACCTCTTGGGTCGAAACGTTGATCATTTTGAATCACATATAAAGCTTATTAAACAAATCCTCTGGAGTGCTCTTTTCAACATCGTGTGTGTGTGTGTGTGTGTGTGTATATATATATATATATTTGTCTCTATCTCTGTCTCTGTCTTTTTTTTGTCTGATATGTGGTTGCTGTGACCACATGCTGGTTTTATCAGGACATTTTCCATACATGATCTTCAGGGCTACATTACACTCACAACTGCTCCCTGTGCTCCAATTAAAGCCCTGAAGTTTGCATTTTCTTTTAATAAAACTTCCTGATAAAATCTGCTATGTGGCCACTCTAGTATCTAGACTATTTATTTATAAAAAATTTTTTTATTTTTTTTGCATTGCATTGCATTCAGAGTTTTCCTTGTGTATATAATTAATAAACAAAGTATAATATAAAATATTAGATTTAGAAAAGAATGAGAACTCCTGAGAATGGACAAAAGCTTAGGGAAACTCAGTAGCTTGCCCTTCGGTAAATCCACGCTCAGGTCTCAAAATAGTTTTTGCTCACTTGTGCCATTACGGAGAGAACATATCTGAAGCATATCAGGCTGGTCCCCCCAGTACGAGCAGTTCAGAACCGAAATGCCAGCAAGTTCCCTCTGCACAAGAGATAAAGATACTATAAATATATAATTTTTATTTTTTTATTTTTTTTAAACATTATTAATTTTGTACAAGTAAATGGTAGTTTGCCCCCTGCTAACTCTCTGAATAATGTACATTTGTTGTAATCTCTTAGCAGGTGTTCCTTTTTTTTTTTTCCTATTAGAAAATATAGAAATCTTTTGCATTTTTATTTTATTTTTTTAATATCAAGTACGATCGAGAACTTGGAGAAATTGTCCTTGCAGTCATGTTTCACGTTAATGTGAAGGATTCTGCCAGTTCTGGATTTTAAATCTCTCAACTCAATTTAAAAACTGCTCTGTTGATATGTGCTGTTGAACTGAAGCCAAACAGCAACCTTAATCAAACTGCATAATTAACATCTTCCTCGGTCACTCGTCAGAAGCTGCCGAACCTTGAGAATTCTGTTTGCAATACTTTTATTCCCTTTTAAAGGGACACTGTTCTAAAAGGTTATGTGAAGGTCGAAAATCTTAAATTCTTAAAGTACGAAAGCATTATTATAAATCCGTTTTAATCAACAGCCAGCTCTCCAACTATTATAGATCTACACCTACCATGGTCCCAAAGCAGCCAGTCTGGGTATACTCATACTCCCCTAAAGCCATGCATTTACTCATTACACCCATTATCTGGAGTGGAGAAAGGTGGAATGCAACATACCAGAAAAAAAACCCTGAATTTAGACATTGAGTGCATCATTTAAAGCAACACTCTAAGGTTAAACATTAATATTTATTTAGTGTGTTTTGCTATGCATTTTTTAGTTTCTTGGGAACACCTTTGTATAAAAAGGGAAAAAAAGAGCACGAGAAAGAGAGGCTGATTTTCTTTTCTCTCTAGTAAACCAGTGCATGGGTGGACTCTGTTGGCCAACGATTCCTCCTCCGGTGCTCATACATAAGTGTTGGGGACCTATGGTGCATGTGTGGCAATCCCTGTGCTATGTCAATCAGATGCTTCATCGTGATGGCTGCATCATGTGATGCGTGAGCATGCCAAATGTGAAGACCTTCAAAAACTGAAGGAATCGGTGAAGAAGCCCCTCTAGTGATCTTCTTAATGCCAGCCGCTAGAGTTTAGGAAAAATGCACCAAAACCACTACACTAAGATGACGTTTTAGAGCTTATATGCTTAAATATTTTAATTTTTTTTGGCAGACTGCAAGCTGTACTTCATGGTTATACTGTTCAGCAACCAAACTAAATGTAGATTTCTGTTGAAAACATATTTTGTAATGTGTGTAAACATTTGATGTATTTATTGAGGTGAAATGTTTAATAGGTTGGGTATCATAGAATGTGATTTGCATGTTTCTTCATTTCATTCATAAGTAGACAAGTGTAATTCGTTTTGGTCCGAATGTGAATTTGGACGAATTTCGGGCAATTCAGACATTTGGGTACTTCCGAATGTCCGACTAGGTGAATTGCCGAATGGTCGAAGTCCCAAAATTGCCTAAGAACTAATATACTTACCCAGTGGAAGAATGAAGAATGTTACACTGTATACAATTTTAAATAAAAAGTATACAAACATAGCCAGGATTCAGCTGTAAGCATTTGCAACACTTACAACAATCAAGTAACATACATTCATATAAAATGTAAGTTACTTATCCAGTCAATGTAATTACAGGAATGAATAAGTAGATAGCTCCCTAATTCCCACGGTATTAGGCAGGGCCAGATTAAGAACCCAGTGGGCCTGGTGCTGACAATTATGACAGGCCTAATTACAGAATCATATCAACCAAAAACAGTAAAACACTCCCAAGAGTCATGTATCTGATGGAGATGGTGCGGGAGAGAAAGAAAACAGCAGCTATAAGAAAACACATACCCTAGGCTAATCTCTCTAATTTATGTTTTATTCTTTCAAGTAAATCCATAACCCCTAACAGCAGTGTCCAGTCAAGCAGGAAGTCAATGGGCGGGGTAAAAGGGTGTGCCACTGACACAAATCACGTAACCTGCCAAAAGGGGCAAACATGCCAAAAAAGAGGATATGTCTGCTCAAAGAATTAGAAGGCCAGCCTGGTATGAATGCATGTCAGGCTGCCTGCCAATCATGCAGCTGGCCAACTAAGCGCATACTATGCAGACAGCACCCTGAGCTTGGCATAAATGCATCTAATGATGCGCTCACTCAGCGCTTTCTAAGGACTGTCCCCTAGCACTTGCTGGTCCACTTGTCTCCTTACCTTCTTACTAGCAGGCAGAAGCTCCTGGTATATAGTCTGGGACAGAGAAAAGCTGTATGTAGTGAGTGTAGAAGAAAGGGAACATGCCACAGTGTTAGAGAGACCAAAGTCAGCATTACCTTAAAGGATCACTATAGGGTCAGGAACACAAACATGAATTCATGACCCTATAGTATTAACACCACCATCTAGCCCCCCTGGGTCCCTCATGCCTCCATAAATATAGCAAAATCTTACTGCATTCAAGCCTGAAGCTGTAACTCTGCATGCTGTTAGACTCAGAAAAACAAGCAGTCTGTTGACATTATTAGAAGTGGTGGCCTAATCCAATCACAGTGCTTCCCCATAGGCTTGGCTGAGACTGACAAAGAGGCAGATCAGGGGCAGAGCCAGCATGATTCAAACACAGCCGTGGCCAATCAGCATCTCCTCATAGAGATGAATTGAATCAGTGAATCTCTATGAGGAAAGTTCAGTATCTGCATGCAGAGGGAGGAGACACTGAATGTTTGGATGCATTTTAGGCAGCCATGACCCAGGAAGGATCTCTAACAGCCATCTGTGGCCAGTGGCC